ATCGTAGAGGATTCTGCCCTTCTTAGATCAAGAATTTAGCTTCAGAAGGTGACTGGATCAACGAAAATTTCTTGCTAAAAGTTTGCTTATTGTGGCGTTTGATGTGTGTTTTGGTGATGAAAAAAAAAAAATGCACTCTTGCTTGGTGGGTACTTTTAGACTTGTAGACTTTAGTTTGTAACTTAATGATGAATTATGTGTTTATATATTTGGAATTGTATAATGAGCTTGATTTGGAATTGATTGTGTTGGAAACAAATGCAGCACAATGGTTGGACTGGTTGCTGATTTACAATTGGGGAGTGTGGATGATAAATAAATGAAAATGGTATGGATTGCTTAGGAGGTTGTGGATTATGTTGATGAATTGGCTTAGCGTTGTTTAATCAAGATCATGATATTGGTTATATGTGATGGTTATGAAATGTTATATCTATGGGTTATGGATCATGCATTGGAAGGGAACTTTTGGCATGCATGGTGTTGTGTGAAATGCATAATTGGATGATTGGAAATAAATTGTGAGAAATGGCATATGTAATCGGTTATTAAAATGGAAAAATCCAGCCAAATTTGGGGAGGGCTGGTTTGTTTGTTCTTGAATAGAGAAGAGGAAATTGAAGGGTAATCGGTTATAGTTGGGATGAAATGAAATTCTTGGTTTGGGTTGCGCTGGATAAGTAGATGTCGGAGTTAACTTGGTGGATATGGGGGGTTGTTAAATTCAATAAATTGAATAAAATCTTGGTGGTTCGTTTATTAAACTTTGATAGATTAAGTATGGATGAGTTATAAAAAGAGATAGGCAGGCCCAATTATTGAAGTCGTGAGTAATGGGTGTTTGGGTTGGTTTTTATGTGAAAAGATATATTAAATTAGTATTGGGTTTGTTTATTTGGGGGGCATCAGGCCCAAATTTCTTTGCTTTGGGTTAGTATTGGTGGAAGGATTCCTAAGGGGGCCGATTGTCAGTTTTACGATTATTGGAGTACAAGCAGTAGGGGTGTTAAAAGAACCGGTTGGAACCGAAACCGCGCGGGTACCCTGGGTTTGGTTCCGGTCCTACCAGAACCAATCTCAATGGGTAGGTTCCGGTTCCAAATTTTGGAACGTTACTGTACGGTTCCAGTTCGGTTCCTATAGTTAGGAACAGGAACCAGAAACAGGAACCAGGAACCGAGACTAATATAAAATAAAATTAAATATTAGGGGGGTAATAAAAACTTTTGTAGGAAAAGTAATGTGTAAATTTATATTTTATTTAAACATTTAAAGTAAGTGGTTTGACTTTTGAGATAACCTTACAAAGTGAATTTAATTTGCAATTTTATTTTTAACAGTGCCAGGTGGGGGGTATTTGTAAGTTTTAGGGTTTTTTTGCCCTTTTAAAAACTTTTGGGGGGTCATGGAATTTTACAGGGTACCCAGAACCGGAAACGGAACTGTTGTTATAGGTTCTGGGTCTGGGTACCTAGGAACGGAACCGTCGGTTCGGTTCTGGTTCCAAATTTCAAGGAACCGTCGGTTCGGGTTCCGGTTCCGGTTCCTTTAAAAAGTGTAGGGTACCCGAAATCGAACACCCCTAACAAGCAGGGGGGAATGTGAGTTTGAAACCTTTGGGACTACATAATCTAGGGACAAATATGAGGTGTATATTGATAGTTTATAAGTTGGTATAATCGGAAAATATATCGTATTACATGATGGTTTTTTAAAAATATATGCACTCATATTCGAACACTTGCATGAAGGCAGGTTGGGAAGTTCAAAGGTGGATTGTGGAAGTATTGCGGACTGTAACCACCTTAGTACTAGTACTGTCCCCCTCCAAACTCAGTTAGGCATTTATATTTAGCATCCTATCGGAACAGTACAGACATTTGATAGCTCCAAGCAGGATTTACACCAAGCGCATTTGGCTGAGTGGGATTATGACACCTGGTGGGTATTGGCTTGGGGAGATTTGATGAGACTATTGGGTAGGTCTTGGCCTGGGTGGGGACATGATTAGCCTCATGCGCATATTGAGATGACCGTACTTCCAACGATGATGATTACACATCCTATCGAGAACAGGTGGGCGCCTGACGAGCTCTAGCGAGATTACACCGGAGGATAGACCTTGGGAGGGATTTGCGAGTACACTAGGGGTATTGGCCTAGTGAGCAGCTAGTGTGGTTGTATATATCAGGACTTGCGTACTAGTGTGGCAATGGTAGTGGTGATGGTTGCATTAATTGAATGAAGTGGAACTTGTGAACATCTAGCGAGTATAGGCTGGGATGAAATTTTAATATTCAACGGGTATAAGTTGGGTGGAAATTGTGGACATTTGACGGGTATTGGCGTGAGCAAGAGTGGGTTTCGTGTTGGGGAATGCCTACTTAACTTTGATGATGGTGTATCGGTTTTCGTGAAAATAATACGATGATCCATGGTAATTGGAAAGTTTGTACAATGATGCGAATTTCCTTGATGGGCATGAGTGGATACGAATCAAGGAAATTATATAAGGCAAGTGTGGTTTCGTTAAGGGAATAGTTACGCGTTATGTGAAATGAAAGTTTTGCTCATGCTGGTTTAAGGTTGAAAGTTATTTTCATTTATAAATTGTATTATCCACTCATTGGGCTTCCTAACTCACTGTTTTATGTTTTTCCCCCAGGATTGCATACAGTGTATATGTGAGGCGCTTGCTATATGCATTCGGTTGGCTAATAGACATATGTTCATTAGCATGATGTTTATACACATTAGAAGCACTCTGATACATATGTTCTGTAAACTGTTTTCTAAGATTTACGTTTTTAAAACTATGTTTCGTGTTACACTATTGTCATTAAAGTTTTTATGAGTGGAGCTAGTAAATTATTTTTCAAAAAAAAAGACACCCTCCTCTTGGGATCTTGAGTCCCTCAGAGTGCCCGAATTCGACGAGATAGGGAATACCTAGGAGGGGGTGCAACAATAAATCCTTGTGAGTATGGTTTGATTAATTTTGCTCTTTTAGAATAGATTAATGCTAGGTAATTAGCATAAAAAATCCTATCATATTCAACGAGTGAAATATGGCAACCTTATACCGTGTTATTTGTATTTTGGATTAATAACTATTATTTAGATAAGATAAACAAATAATCAGCCGTGTTACTATTTTCTATGCTATATAAAATTTTAAAAAAATAATGGAAAATTTAAATACCTTGCTCAAAAACCAATGATATTTTCGTGAAATGTTAAGCTTTGAGTAACTACCAACAAAGCGCAAGTATCTGGTTTTGATTAGACCTTTATCTGAAAGAGGTGAGACAAGAAAATAAATAAAATGTGAAGTAATTAAATATAAATTAATGTTAAAAGAGGAAAAACTATGAAGCATTGTTGATCATTCCTTTAAATAATTTAATTAAGAAAAAAAGGAATTTTTTTTTTATTATTTTGTTCCTATTTGATAACAAACAAGGTTAGTTCAGAGTAGAGTATGCATTTCATTGTAAGTATTAGTGAATATTCTTGAAGTCCCTTGGTTAATATTTGCTCAATTATCTCCAAGAAATAAAATCATATCTAACCTTACTAATATTAAAATTTTTATTTCTAAATAACATAAGATATATATACATACATAGTTTAACCTCAATAAATTAATATCATTGGAACCATAAAAATTTATTAATAAATCAATATATTAAGTAATGGTATAAATTAATAAATTATTAATTTATTGAGGCATTTTTTATTTTCTTTTTCCAAAACATTGAACTTAATGCATGTACATATTGTGTATAGTTAATGTGATATAGGGAATGGTTCATAGTTAATGCACTTAAAGAAACAATCATATTGTAATTTTCTCTTGCAATACGAAAACACTACATTAGTGGTTCTTAATGCACTAAGGAAAGTTAGAGATGAGATCCAAGAAGACATCAATTTCAAGAGGAAACAAGCAACATTTGACTTGTTTTATAAAATGCCTCTTAATTGAGTCATGCATATATATACTTTTGATGTACAAGGAGATTATTAATTTATATATCAAGTAGTATCTTTCTATGTGTGTGTGTGTGTGTGTGTGTGTGTGTGTGTGTTTTAATGTATTATCTTATAAATCCTATGTNTTTTGTAGAAAAAGTAATGTGAATACATTTATATTTATATTTCATAACATTTAAAGTAAGTTGGTTTGACTTTTGAGAATCTACCTTTACAAAGTGAATTTATAATTTGCAATTTTATTTTTGTTAACAAGTGCCAGGTGGGGGGGTATTTGTAAGTTTTTAAGGGTTTTTTTGCCCTTTTAAAAACTTTTGGGGGGTCATGGAATTTTACAGGGTACCCAGAACCGGAACCGGAACTGTTGTTATAGGTTCTGGTTCTGGGTACCTAGGAACCGGAACCGTCGGTTCCGGTTCTGGTTCCAAATTTCAAGGAACCGTCGGTTCGGGTTCCGGTTCCGGTTCCTTTAAAAAGTGTAGGGTACCCGAAATCGAACACCCCTAACAAGCAGGGGGCTAATTGTGATGTTTGAAACCTTTGGGACTACATAAATCTAGGGACAAATATGAGGTGTATATTGATAGTTTATAAGTTGGTATACTTCGGAAAATTATACTCGTATTTACATGATGGTTTTATTAAAAAATATATGCCACTCATATTCGAACACTTGCATGAAGGCAGGTTGGGAAGTTCAAAGGTGGGATTGTGGAAGTATTTGCGGACTGTAACCACCTTTAGTACTAGTACTGTCCCCCTCCAAACATCAGTTAGCATTTATATTTAGCATCCTATCGGAACAGTACAGACATTTGACTAGCTCCAAGCAGGATTACACCAAGCGCATGTTGGCCTGAGTGGGATTATGACACCTGGTGGGTATTGGCTTGGGCGAGATTTGATGAGACTATTGGGTAGGTCTTGGCCTGGGTGGGACATGATTAGCCTCATGCGCATATTGAGATGACTCGTACTTCCAAACGATGATGATCTACACCATCCTATCGAGACAGGTTGGGCGCCTGACGAGCTCTAGGCGAGATTACACCCGGAGGATAGACCTTGGGAGGGATTTTGCGAGTTACACTAGACGGGTATTGGCCTAGTTGAGCAGCTAGTTGGTTGTATATATTCAGGACCTTGCGTACTAGTGTGGCAATGGTAGTGGTGATGGTTGCATTAATTGAATGAGTGGAACTTGTGAACATCTAGCGAGTATAGGCTGGGATGAAATTTATAAATATTCAACGGGTATAAGTTGGGTGGAAATTGTGGACATTTGACGGGTATTGGCGTGAGCAAGAGTGGGTTTAGTGTTGGGGAATGCCTACTTAACTTTGATGATGGTGTATCGGTTTTCGTGAAAATAATACGATGATCCATGGTANTGTTCACACAAATTTGATACCTTGAAAGTTTGGAGAAAGCAAAGCCTTTTGCAAGGCATTTTGAATTTATTTTCAAATACAGAACAGCCAAGCGAGGTAGATAATTTACCTCTGAAAGCCTAGCATTGCCTGTTTCTATACTCTTCTCTTCAACCTCCCTTTCTTCAAAGATGTCCTCCATGTATAATTCTTCTAATTGAGAAAAGCTTCGTATCAAATTGGAAGGAATTCTTTCTAGCTCAAAACACCAACGTAAATCCAACATTCTTAGTTCCTTAAGTTCACTCAATGCTATTGGTAATTCGCCAAAACGAGAACCTCTAAAGCTAAGAATCTCAAGTTTGTTCAGCTTGGCAAGGAAACAAATGTCCCTCAAATTACAACCAAACAACTCCAGAGTCTTGAGATTTGTCAAGAATTGAAGTGATTTCAGTGAAAGGTCTGCATATCTTAAACTCACAACTTCTAGTGCTTTCATCTCTTCGAAACATTCATCTGAAACTTTCAACTGTGACCGTTTATTTTCACCACCCAATAGCAATATTTTAAGCTGAGGACATTCCAGTCTAACAGAGAGCTCTTTAAGTTTGTTTTCCAACAAGGAGATTGCTGTATATTGTTTCCAGCCTTTCTCCCTTGTCAACTGCGTCAAATCCATGCCAATCTTGCTCATGAATATGTTCTCCCCCTTTGATGTTATCCATAGACAAACATCACGAACTATATCATGCATTCTCACAAATTCTTTTTTAGAAGCATCTAATAGCAAACCCAAAGCCTTCAAGGTTTCAACAATTAAACGTAGGTCCTTTCTTGCTTCTTCAATGGATGAAACACCTTCATATAAATTTAACCCCACTCCTATTCTAACCAAATCCTCCAAAGGAATTTCAAAATCCTCAGGAAATAATGAACACATCAAAAAACACAATCGAATTTTACCTTCCTTCAAAAAATCATAACTCAACTTAAGACTGGCGTAGACACCTCTCTCTGTACTATTAACAAGACATAAATCCTCCAGTTTTGACTTTTTTAGTTTTTCACACACAGATTCCCATATTTCGATATCTTTCTTTCCTCTCAAATACCTTCCGGTGGTTACAAGTGCTAAAGGCAAACCACCACATTCTCTAGCAATTCGAGTAGCCAAAGTATTCAAGTTGACACAATCATCATCTATGCCTGCTTCCTTTTTTAGTAAAGCCACTCCTTCGTGTTCCTTTAAAACATCTAGATGAATTAATGATTGATACTTCCAATAAGTGCATACCTCTCTGTAGCGGGTTGTCAAAAGCATTTTGCAACCTTTGCTCAATGGAACACCTATTTTTTCCTCGAAATTGAATTCTTCCCAAACATCATCGAGGATTATAAGGCTATTATTAGAATTTGACAATCTTGAAGACAACCTCTCGGCTCTTCCCTCTTCAGTTTCCTCCGTGAGTTTCAAATTTAGGAAGTCAGCCAGCTGACCTTGAATATTTATGAAGTTTGGAGTTTGGGATACAGTAGCCATCGCAACCTCCTTAAAGATGCCCTTTTCTTTGACCGTTTTATGCACTTTTCTTGCTAAAGTTGTTTTACCCACACCGCCCATCCCATACAATATAACCATATAGGTGCCATCATTTTCAAGTGCCTCCATAATGTCATCAAAAGCAGCCTTCGTAGACCGGCAAAATTCAAAATCTTTAGGTGCTGAAGGTTCACCTAATAGAAGAGCACGATGCCCCACGCTTTCAATTTGGCCTCCATCTACAATTACCTTCTTCAAACAAATGCTTGTCTTTGTTGCTTTCCTCCCCAACTGATGTCGAGAGACCCAATTAGGACACCACCCATTAAGACAAGTCTTGTTAACTTCTATTTTTCCTTTCAACGTCTCAACTTCTCCCATGATTTTTCTCGAATCAGACAACCAATCTTGTACAGTTGCCTTAATTCTTTCATCATTTCTTTCTGCAGCTNTTACCACATTATCCTTATTTAATTTTAAAATTTTATAGTATACCCTTGTTTAATGTAGTACCCCTTTTAGTCATTTTATAATAAAATGTACTTATAAGCCATATTTTACCAAACACGTCAACTACTTATCAGTCACTTATAAGTACTTTAACCAAACACGTAATTGCTTAAAATTTTAAATGCTTATAAGCTAAAATTAGCTTATAAGTACTTGTTGCTTATAAGCTAATTTTCATAAGCTCAGACAAACACCCCCTAATTACATGGATACTTTTAGATGTATTATAATTTAAAAATAAATAAATAAATTGCATGTATCACTACAAGGGTAATAACATTGTAATCGTCATGCTTGGCTAACTATCCCAAGTCAATTTATTGGTGTGAGCTCAAAAACACGAGATTTGAGTGATGTAATATTTTCTATGCCCTTAACATATGGATTAAATAGCTGCATGCCTTGATCAAGGTATTAATTTAATTAATATGCATTATACTTTTCATTTCTTTTTAAACTACATAATAAACTGATTATTCACAACCAATAATATTACAAGAATTTTTCTGTAGACACTAATTTGATATAGGATAAAGGACATTTACCCACCCCCTAGATTCATAAATTGCAAATTCTTACCCAATTTTAAACTTTGTTAAGATAAATTTTGTTTTGACTAGTTAAATACCCTTTTTAACCCTTTTTATAATAATGGGTAAATAGATAAATTACTTTCTAACTCTCAAATTAATAGATTTAGCAAAATAATTATTTTTCTTTTAAATTTATTTCAATAACACACTTTTCTTCAACCTTCCTCTTCTCTGTAGCGGTTAGATATGGCCGTCGGGATCTTCTCCACCTCTTTCTCTCTCCCTCTCTTTCTTCTTATCTCTTCTCCAACTCTTTCTCTCTTCTCTTCTCTCTCTCTTTCTTCTTTCCTCTTCTTCACAACGGCCATATCTCGACAACTGGATATGGCCATCGACCCCTCTTTCTCTCTACTCTTTTCTCTTTCTCCTTTCCTCTTCTCTATAGTGACCAAATCTGGCCGCCAATGGTGTTGGTGTTGGTGGTGATGGTGGAGGAGTTGGAGCCTTGGAGGCAGAGAGGAAGGGTTGGGTTGTAAGAAATTTTGAGATGTGGATGGTTGTTTTGAAATTGCACTAATTTAGGGGAGAGAGAGAGAGATTAGAGTTTACGATTTTTATTTTTTTTTATAAAAAGACCTAAATACCATTTAACTGTTAAATTTAACATTTCAAATTTTAAACTGGGTGAGAATTTGCAATTTATGGGAACCGTAAATTTGTCAAACCTTAGGTGGGTAAAGGTATTTGAATGATAAAAGCAGATGATAAAGGCTTATCTGCTTGTATTCAAAGTTGGAAGAAATTATAGTGGACTGCAATGAATTTCTTTTTGACAGAAGAAAAAGAAGCAGACAAACAACTTTATAATTTCAATGAATGACAGAAAAAGCAATGAACGCAAGTGTTCAATGTGGAAAAGGGTCAAGGACTTGAGATATATTGTATTTTCTTTTCATTATCAAATTTTATGAATGTTGATAGCGTGTTCAATGGATAAAAAAGTTTACTTATTATATATTATTAAAATTCATAATCTATTAGAATTATTTCCTTTTTTCAATAACTAACTGCACTAGATTATTTACTGTATAACATTTAACATTATTAATTCTCATAAACAATTTTAAAATTTTAATTTCTCAACACTTAGTCTTCTTAGTCAAGAACAAAAATAGTCAGAATATGTTGTCTTTTAAAAATGCTATACTACTTAGTGTAACGTTAAAATAACACATGGTCTAATATATTTTAATTNCTCCACCAAGTATTCTCCAACCTTTGATACAATAGCAGTTACAATCTCCATCAATATATCTGTTATCAAATAGAAACTATATCAGTATAAAATAAGCAAACAAAAATTCATCAGCAAGTGTAAAATGCAATTATAGAGAGATGAATTCTTAAAATCAATCTGTCTAAAACAGTTCAAATAACATCTGTTTTAGTTTTTGAACAATTTATTACTTATTTTAAAACACTATGGTAGATATATATTCACAGTTCCTGGAAATGTCCTCAATTAGCTATTTTTTTTTTTTAGAAATAAAATACATTATATGATGCTACTACTGATCTTACACTTTTTCTGTGTAACATTGAACCATGTAACATAATTGTGATTAGTGAACAGGTAAACTTCTAATGTTTCATGATTATTTGTTTGCTGTAGAAAAGAAAGTGTATCATAAAAATGTTGTGAGACGTCCTAGACATTATAAATATGTGTTAAATCGTAGACAAACGTGGTAATATAAATTGAGGGATTGGTCGTCTGAAGAACTGTATGGGAAGGTGTGGAGGTAATTTCTCTTGCACATCCAGTAGCTAGGCCTAGGGCCAGTGGGAGGCAAGGGAAATTCAATGGCCAATAGTAGTGCAATAGAGCCTCTAGAGGGAACAGAGGATGTTGTGTGAGAGTGTGGCAGGTACCATGAAGAGTAGTGTTGGGGTGCAACTTCAGTCTGTTGTCGATGCAGACCATTTGGACATATTAAGAGAGAGTGCCCCAAATTGTCTCAAAGTGGAAGTGTATTTCAAAGGGCTGTCCAGTAGGGTGAATAGGGAGGGAGTAGTCGTGTTAAGGGACAACAGAGGTCCCAAACTAAAGAAGGGTCCAAGTCATGGCAATAGAGAGAGGCAGAGAGAATTGGGACAGCCTTGTATTTAGACCCGAGTATACGCCATGACGCAACAAGAGGCCCAGACCATACCAAAGGAGGTAACGTTTTAGAAAGTCAGGAATGCCAAAGTCAATATTTTATAGAAAGCACCATGTAACTCCATCTTGTCTAATTTCAGCGGTGACTGTTAGGAAGTATTTTTGGAAGGGATGTCAGGTGCAATTGCCTTTTGTGGTGGATACACAAGTGGATGGATATAGATTGGAAGGTATTTCGATGGTGAGAAAATTGGAAACTTTTAACAGGAAGATGTGGTGGCCATGAATTAAAGAAAGATTGTAGGGTTTGGCTCCAGATATTCGTTATGCCAACTAAATGAAGCGAACATCAGAGTGGCACAACAGAAGCTAGTGGGCCCATAACCTACAATCCCCAAGACTGTCCCTTGGATAGAAATTCAATGGAGTGATCAAACAGAAGAGGGAACAACTTGAGAGAGTGTGAGAAGGATATATGTGCACTGTATCCGGAGTTGTTCTAATCAGGTGTTTAAATTTCGAAGACGAAATTTCTTTAAGAGGGAAAGGTTGTAATATCCCATATTTTATTGGTTATTTTATAATATTTATTTTGTCTTCTCGGGGAAAAAAATGTGAGTTTCTAAATTTTTGTTGGGGAAATTTTGCAAGAAAAGCTGCTGTGGCAGGGTCATGGTAAGAATAAGAGAATAATTGGGGTAGTTTCGAAATTTTGGAAAATTGTGAAACGTATAGGTGGGCTGTTCACCCAAAAGGAGAAGAATCGAGAAGAAAGAAAAGAGAGGAGAGGAAGAAGAAAAGAAGGGAGAGAGATGAAACCGAGAAAAGAGACAGAGAGAGAAGAGTAGAGAGCGACAAAGGTTGCTGGAAAAGTAGCCGTTGGCGGGTAAACTCGGTGAAGGGAAGGAGTAGAGGAGGATTAAGCATGTGGGAGGTGAGTAAAGCTTGAGATTTCCCTCTTTGATGATTATTGATTAATTTGATTTGTGTTGTTTATGATTGAATAAAATGGTATGAGATTAAACTGAAAAGGTAAGATTAATTACAATAATATTATGTGGATAGAACATATATGTGATTCCTAAGCAAAAAATTGGTTAAGGATGTGTTTTTTTATATAAGGGTTACTGTGCAAAAACTAACCATCTGGAATTCCGAAAATCGTTTACACGTTTTGGGTTTTTGACTGAAGCAGAATTTTGGATATGTTTTTGTAGAGTTCTTGAGGAGTGTTTAGAAAGTTGTTTCACTCAAAAACTCGAAGTATTGGATTTCTATGGATTTTTTAAGGCTGCGTTACAATTCTGGAATTTGGGTTTCCTGCAGAATGAGTATTTTAGTAAACGATTTGATGCATCTATTCTTATCCAAATTTAATGATTTTAAATTCTGGTGAATCCTGTAATTGTCTAGTTTAATTCTGGAGGTTTTCGTAAGGTTTCGATTAAAGGTTAAATTGTTATAAATTTTACAAGTCAGTAACCTAAATTCTGGAAGCAGTTGGCAGTTTTGAAAAGGTTGAAAGAAAATTCTGTTTTAAATGGTTATTGGCTCTAAAATGGCTTGGATAAATTACTGGAACCTCATATGTGTATCTTGAATGCCCCATTAAAATTATGGCTTAAATTGATGGATGGAATTTTTATGAAAAATCCTGGAGTGATCGGTATTAAGTTATGAGACAGTTTTTGTTAAAGGATGTTAAGTTAATCTTTTGGTGTTTAAGATGTCTAATGAATTTAATGTTGAAGTTCTACCATAGGGAGATCTTTGCATGGAGAGGTCATTGGATTTCGGATAAAGGAAGACAAGCACAGACATCGTTAGAGGATTCCAATCCTTTCTTTGGATCTAGAATTTAGCTTCAAAAGGTGTTCTTCAGATCAAGAATTTAGCTTCAAAAGGTGAGTGGATAAACCAAAATTTCCTTGCTAAAAGTCTGATTTTCTGTTGTATGTAATGCATGGAAGCTTATTGTGGCGTTTGATGTGTGTTTTGGTGAAATAAAGAAAAGGAATTCTTGTTTGGTCGGTACTTTAGTAGACTTGAAGACTTATGTTTGTAACTTAAATACTTAATGGTGAATTTATGTGTTTATATATTTTGGATATTGTATAATGAGCTTGATTTGGAATTGATTGTGATTGGAAACAAATCCAACCAATTGGTGGGACTGGTTTGCTTAATTTACAACTGGGAGTGTTGGATATTAAATGAAAATGTTATAGATTGCTTTAGGACGTGGTGGACTATGTTGATGAATTGGCTTAGTGTTGTTTAATCAAGATCATGAATCATGATTATGGGTTATGGATCATGTATTGGAAGGGATCATGTATTGGAAGGGAACTTGTGGCTAGCATGTGTGTTTGTGTGAAATTGCATAATTTGGATGATTGGAAATTAAATTGTGAGAAATTGCATGTGGAATTGATTATTAAAATGGAAAATCCAACCAAATTTTGGGGAGGGCTGGTTTGTTTGTTCTTAAATAGAGAATGAGGAAATTGAAGGGTAATGTTGGTGGGAATAGAGTTATTGTTGGGATGAAATGAAATTCTTGGTTTGGGTTGAGTTGGAGAAGTAGTCGTTGGAGTGTAAACTTGGTGGATATGGGGGGTTGTTAAATTGAATAAAATCTTGGTGGTTGGTTTATTAAACTCTTGATAGATTGAAGTATGGATGAGCTTATAAAAAGAGATGGGCTTGGCCCAAATTTAATAAGTTGTGAGTAATGGGGGTGTTTTGGTTTGGCTTTATAATTGTGAAAAGATATATTAAATTAGTATTGGGTTTGTTTCTATTTGAAGGGCATAAGGCCCAAATTTCTTTGCTTTGGGTTAGTATTTGATTGTAATTGGTGGAAGGATTCTCAAGGGGGCAGATTGTCAGTTTTGCGATTATTGGAGTACAGGCAGGGGGCTAATTGTAATGTTTGAAACCTTTGGGACAAATAGGGACAAATATGAGGTGTAAATTGATATTTTATAAGTTCGTATACTTCGGAATAGTATACTTGTATTTTCATGATGGTTTTATTAAGAAATATATGCCACCCATATTCGAACAATTGCATGAAGGCAAGTAATATTATTGAAGGTTGGGAAGTTCAGAGGTGGGATTGTGGAAGTGTTATGCAGACCATAACCATCTTTCTAGTACTGCCCCCCTCCAAATATTAGCTAGTATTTATATTTGGCCTCATACATGCAATGAGATGGTCCGTACTACCGCAAGGTGTTAAAATCTTATCAGGATAGTATGGATACCTAACTAGTTCTAGGCAGGATTACACTAGGCGGGTATTAGTCTGAATGGGATTATGACACCTAATAGGTATTGGCTTGGGTGGGATTTGATGAAACTAGTGGGCAGGTATTGGCCTAAGTAGGATATGATTAGCCTCATGCGCGTATCGAGATGGTTTGTACTTCCGAACCATGACGATCTATACCATCCCATCGAGATAGGACAGGCGCCTAAGGAGCTCTAGGCAGGATTACACCCCGAGGATAGACCTTGGGAGGGATTTGACGAATTACACTAGGCGAGTATTGGCTTAGTTGAGCAGCTAGTTGGTTGTCTATATTAGGGACCTTGGGTACTAGTGTGGTGGTGGTGGTGGTGGTTGTGGTTGAATTAACTGAATGAGTGGAACTTGTGAACATCCAACGGGTGTAGGCTGGGATGAAATTTATGAATATCCAGCAAGTATAGGTTGGGTGGAAATTGTGGACACTTGGCAGGCATTGGCGTGAGCAAGAATGGGTTTCATGTCGAGAAATGCCTACTCAACTTTGATGATGGGTGTATCAGTTTTTGTGACAATAATACAATGATCCATGGTAATTGGAAAGTTTGTACAAGGATGCAAATTACCTTTTTAGGCATGAGTGGATACAAATTAAGGAAATTATATAAGGAAAGTGTAGTTGCGTTAAAGGAATGTTACGTGTTACATGAAATGCAAGTTTTGCTCATGCAGGTTTAAGGTTGAAAGATATTTTCATTTATAAATTGTATTATCCATTCATTGGGCTTCCTAACTCACTGTTTTATGTTTTCCTCCCAAGAGGTGCTTGCCATGCATTCGGTTGGTTGATAGACACATGTTCATCAGCACGATGTTTGTACACATTAGAAGCACTCTGATGCATTTGTTTTGTAAACCGTTTTCTAATATTTACGTTTTTAGAACTATGTTTTGTGTTACACTATTGTCATTAAAGTTTTTATGAATTGAGTTGGTAAATTGTTTTTGAAAAAAAAAAAATCACCCTCCTCTTGGGATCTTGAGTCCCTCGGAGTGCTCAGATTCGATAGGATAGCAAATACCAATGAGGGGGCATGACAATAAATCCTTATGAGTATGGTTTGATTAATTTTGCCCTTTTGGAATAGAGTAAGGCTAGGTAATCAGCATAAACAAATCTCATCAAATATGGCAATCTTGTAATATTTGTTATTTGTATTTTGGATTAATAATAATATTTAGATAAGATAAGCAAATAATCAGCCTGTGTTACTATTTTTCATGCTATATAAAATTTTAAAAAGAAAAAAAATAACAGAAAATTTAAATACCTTGCTCAGAAACCAATGATTTTCATGAAATGTCAAAGCTTCGAGTAACTACTAACAAAGCGCAAGCATCTAGTTTTGATTAGGCCTTTAACTGAAAGAGATAAGACAAGAAAGTAAATAAGATGTGAAGTAATTAAATATAAATTAATGTTTAAAGAGGAAAAACTATGAAACATTGTTAATCATTCCTTTAAATAATTTAATTGTAAAAAAGAGGAAAAACTTTTTTTATTATTATTTTTTCCCTGTTTGATAACAAACAAAATAGATTAGAGTATGCATTTCATTGTAAGTTTTTGTAAATATTCTTGAAGCCCCTTGGTTAATATTTGCTCAATTACCAACCCAAGAAATAAAATTATATCTAACCTTACTAATATTAAAATTTTTAATACAATTACTTTTAGTTACTATCATATCTAAACCATTAGTTTCTAAATAACATAAGATATATACACACACACATTAAACTCAATAAATTAATATCATTGGGATCATAAAAATTTATTAATTAATCAATATATTATTTAATCGTATAAATTAATAAATTATTAATCTATTGAGACATTCATTATTTTCTTTTTCCAAACTTAATGCATGTATATATTGTGTATAGGGAATAATTTATGGTTAATTCACTTAAAACAACAATCACATTGCATAATTTTCTCTTGTAATACGAGAACACTACACCAGAGCTTCTTAATACACTAAGAAAAGTTATAGATGAAATCCAAGAAAACATCAATTTCAAGAGAAAACAAGTAACATTAGACTCATATTTTACAAAAGGCCTCCTAGTTGAGTCATGTATATATATATATACAATTTTGATATATAATAAAATTATTAATTTATATATCAAGTGGTAACTATGTTTTTTTTTTTTTTCAAATGTATTATCTTATAAATTTAGCAAATTATTAATTTACCACAGTGGTCCCGAGCAATGTTTTAAAACCCGGTCCGACTCGGTTGGTTGAACCGGTTCGATCAGAAACTGACGCTTAGTCGGGCTGATCAGGGTAAAAATTCGAGAATAAGAGTTCACTTATTTTGACTCACGATTGGACTGGTGTTACTGTAGCAAACCACCGGTCCAACCAGTTTTGTACCAAAACAGGTTTAACTCAATTTCCTAAATTCTAAAATTCAAATCCCTTCTACAATTTTCAATTGAAGATATGAGGCTAATCAATGGAAAAAATAAGACTAATCAACGAAGCCACTGGAAGAAGAGAGAGAATCCAACTCAAAGAAAAGGGGACAAAACGAGAGGAGTTGAAACTCTAGGCCATTGCTGCTGTGGTGGTGATGGTGGTGGAGAATGGTGGAGGTGCATGTAGTAGTGGCGGCACACAACTAATAAGAGAGAAGAAAGTGAGGATTTTGTCAAAAAAGAAGAGTGAATGTGTTTGTGTGTTTTTGTGTAGAAGGTAGGCACCTTTTGATTAGAGGAAAGGAGAAGAATCGAAAAAGCTTTAAAAATCAAAACAGAAGAAATGAGAGAGTAAAGAACAACAAAGAAAGTTGAAGAAAGAATTTTTGAAGCTTTCTCTCTCTACTCTACTCTTCTTCGTTCCTGCAAACGCTAAAGTGAAGAGCGTAATGTACTGCATTTAATGAAAAACAAATAAAAAATTGTTTGTTGGTGGACAGATCATATGAGAGGTGAGGGATTGATGGGTGAGATGAAAAAGAAGAAGTAGACAAAACGGTGATTGAGTGATGAGATGAAGAAAATGACATTATCGGTTTGACCCATTGGTCGAATCAGTTCAATCTGTTAACTCGAGACCCGATCACTTGATCGGGTTATTGATCTGTTCGATTTTTAAAATATTAGTCCCAAGTCAGGATCGACCAAAAATATTATTTAATCAAAGTTATTAATTTATTTAACTATATTTTTTAACCTAAACAAAGTCAACTATGGCTCAAGAGATTCACCTTCAGTTAGGACATTTATTTTTAATTTTAAGATTAACATATTAAAGTATATGGTATATTTTGGTTTCATGATGATACACTAAAGCATAAGTTTAAATTAGACCTTAACCGTTAAGCTACATCCATAGAGATTTGGTTATTATATTTTCAAAAGGTTTTCATTTTCGTTCATAGTGTAAATATTCAACATAGAATCATAATTTATCGAATAATGTTTTAATTATTTTAATAAGTGTCAAAAGCACAAAAGAAAAAATGACATTTCTCGTACCTTTTTTCTATTAAGAGATATCTTGACACGATATAAAACTACACACTGTGAGAGATTATTATCATGACCTGTATTCTGCAAGTGAAACAATAACAACAAATAGCTAAACAATAAATGATGAATTTTAAATATTTTACGTAATTATACTCGACCAAACTTGGAATAACGGAGACAACCTATATGCAATATTATTCTAAACAAAAAATTTTGTCTTCTTTAATCCATGTGGAAAATTAATTTAGACATGTGGCCACTGACTACACATTCTATATAAACTTCAGCCAAGCCAATAAAGTTTAAAGATGAAATAATGAAGTTCAAAACAAATTAATTTTTGTAGCCTTTCTTGAACTTCTTAATGAAAAAAATTGTAGTGGTATAGTAATGCAGTTCAAAGATGAGAAGTATCATACCTAATTGTAATGATCCTATTTGAGCTTGAGAATCTGCGGTCACAATTCGCAAAGTTTGTGATTGGTACCTTCTGGGTAAGAGAATATGAAGTAAAATTTCACACTCAAAATGAAGTGTATTTGAGATCGTCAATTAGATCCTGGCAAACTTCAAGTTCATAAAGACGTTAGCAAGTAAATAATAACAAAGAAGAAGTTAATTAAACCAACAAAAACCAGAAGAGAAGCTGAAGTTGAAACATCATACCGATTGGTGTTTTCTTAGAAATGAAACTTCTCTAGTATCTGTAAATCTTTGCACAATCACCTCTCTGCTTTTATCGATGGATGACCTACAATGTCACCAAAGACTTGACTTGTCAAATGAGAAAAAGATAATCAAGTAAAATATAAGTGCCAATATTATAGAGCCACAAAAACATTAATAACAAAATAAGTAAAACAAGTTAATCTTGGAAATGAATAAAGATAATAAAGAAAACAAGCATTTAATTTTATGGTGTATTTACATTTTTGAAGGAGATTAAACAAGAAATTAAAATGACGTTGCCAGCCCAAATTCTTGACCGATGGTAATTAGTCTAAAGTTGAAAAAATGAGGTATAAATGCACAATACAAGCTCTTTTTCTTTCCTTTAGCAACTGGAATGACCCACGTTATCTGTCACCAAGTTTTCATTCTCTTTAGACTAATTATGAGAGCAAGAACAATTGAGGGTTATATGAAAATTAATACATCTTTGGTAGGAATTGAAACTCCCAATCTAGGGATGAATTAATAATTGTTTTTCTGTTGTTAAACTTGCTAAAAAATATAATATTAAGTTCACCTTAATAACAATTTATCTATTTATGCTCTTTGGATGTTACTAAAGATCATTTGGTTTAAACTAACAATCCAGATCATTTAGAGTAAAAGATACAAAATTTATAGATAATGTATAATAATGAAGTTGAAAAATGATAAATAATCATACCAATTGTTGATGATGCTATTCGAGCTTGAAAATATGTGGTCACAATCACAATTAACATAAAAGTTAGTATCTATATATATAGTTTGAAGAAACAAAAAATCGATTCATTATTCATGTATATGAATTACTTAGTTCTGAAAGGGAATATATTAATCAAAATGATTCATCATCTTCTGATAATGAAGTTGAAACATCACAAATGATCATACCTGGAAACAAAACTCGTATGGTGTCTTTTGATCTCGTAAATTGAAGTTCATAAATTAAGATGTGTGAGAATATAAATGTAAAATAATTCCAACTCACAAATTAAGTAAAGAATGTGTGTGAAAACAAATTCAAACTTGGAAATTAAGCAAAGAATGTTTGAGAATAAATTCAAACTTGGAAATTGAGTAAAGATGTTTGAGCTTTTTATTTTGTAAGTTGAATGACCCACCAATACCATGTCAATAAATACTTGATATATATAAAAGGAAAAGTAAAAACAATTTTATTTCATTTTAATTGTAACATGATTTATGGGAAATGGAGAGAAGGAAAGTAGATGGTCGAGTTTGAGGCATAAGTGTGCACAAAGAATGAACTCATATTAAAACAATTAAAATTAATAGTGTTAGTCTCAGGAAATAGTCTAAATTCTAAGGGGTGATGCTTGAAAAGTGTGGTCAAATTTGAGCATCGCCATCAATTTCTGATAAATTTGAGGAAAGAGACTAAATAAAATTAATTGATCCATTAAGAATAAGAGATTTATTAAAGAAGAATTAATTGGTGGAGACCACCCCAATACTGGTTTATTTATCTATGCTCTAGCTAGATCTATAAACAAAGAAAATTAAATATTACAATACTATTTTCGGTTTTTGTGGTTGTAATATAATTAGAACAATTATGTATGCATAGTAAATTAATTTTACAGAAAGTAGTAAAAATTATGATTGATTCAATAGAAAATTAATCCTAATTAATAAATAAGATTTCCTTATCTTTTTAATGAAGTAATTTATAGTAATAGAAATATTAGTAAAAATAGATAGTAAGTTGAGAGATGATAAAATAATCATACCCAATGGTGAATGATGGATACTATTTGAGTTTTGAGAATGTGTGGTCGCAATTGCAATTTGCAAACTCCAAGAATGTAAGCTTTATAATAAAGAAAACAAAAGCATTTTAATCAATCAAATCCGTCTAAAGCATGCATAAAAGTAAATATAAATGACATTAATCTTCTGTAAACCAATATATGAAGCAAATAAAAACCTAAACTATCTTTAGGTAAATATTAGTGAATGTATATAAAAGCTAAATCATACCGATCGATGTTAACTTAGTAATGAAATACGCTTTGTATCTTTAGATGCTTGCCAACTTAAAAGAACTCTTCAACAAGCTAAGAGTGTGAACTTTTTTAAAATAAAATTTTATTTTAAACGATCTTCGAGGTTTTTGTTTTTTTATGATGATTTAAAACTAACACTTCATGAAATATAGATGATTTTAGGTATGAGATATAAGATATTATAAAAATTGGTAATGTTACATATTTATATATATGGACTTGTATGTATGTTTTAGATGATGATGATGATGTAGCGTTAATAATACTATTAATATTTGAGAATGACAACATTTGTTTATTGTTAATTATATATAAAAAATGCAAGAAAATAGAAAAAACAAATTAAATCATATAAAATACAGTTAAAATTATACAAGATATGATACAAATTAAATTATATAAAATACAGCAAAATTACCTTTTTTTAAAAAAAATTTCATTGTTTAAGTTGGAGATTTATTTGCAAGTTCATTTTATGAACAAAAAATAAAGAATTCATTAGGAGCTTAGCAATGGTAGGATTTAAGTGGCTCTCTTGTCCTGGTGATTTAATAAATTATTCTCAAGATATCAATTGCAATTGATTCAAACCACTTGTGATTTAATTCACAATATCTTTTCGTATTGTTTATAATAAGAATATAAGTTTGCTTACAAAAATTAAACTTAATTGAATCACATGAGACTAGTAGCTTGTGTAAAAACCCTACTATATAAAGATTATTTATCTTATTCATCATTTATAATTCAAATTATTTATCTTAAATATGTATAATTTAATTTTCTTCATCATAATTTATGTAATTTATCGTTTAAATGCGATTAATTTAATAAATAATTTATATACATCATAAATTATAAGATTAATTAATAAGATAATTTGTTTAACCTTAGTTATGGTGATGTTAACCCAACTGTGATGATTCTATTTGAGCTTGAGAATCTGCGGTCACAATTCACAAAGTCCAGCTTTATGAACTAGGATATATATCTAAAGCCAGTATAAATGTTTGTGATTAATACCTTCTAGGTAAGAGAATCTGAAGTAAAATTCCACTCTTAGAATGAAGTGCATTTGAGATCTTCAATCAAATGCTTGCAAACCTTAAGTTCAGAAAGACGTTAGCAAGTAAATATATAATAACAAAGAAACCAACTAAAACCAGTAGCGAAGTTGAAGTTGAAACATCATACCGATTTGTTTTCTCCTAGAAATGAAACTTCTCTGGTATCTATAAATCTTCGCACAATCACCTCTCTGCTTTTATCAATGGATGACCCACAATGTCTCCAAAGACTTGACCTAACAAATGAGAAAAAGATAATTAAGTAAAATATAAGTGACAATATTATGGAGCCACAAAAGCATTAATAACAAAATAAGTAAAACAAGTTAATCTTGGAAATGAATAAAGATAATAAAGAAAATAAGCAGTAAATTTTATGGGGTATATACATTTTTGAAGGAGATAAAACAAGAAATTAGAATGACAGTGCTAGCCCAAATTCTTGATAGATAGTGATTAGTCTAAAGTTGAAAAAATGAGATATAAATTCACAATACGAGCTCTTTTTCTTCACTTAGCAACTGGAATGACCCACCTTGTCTATCACCAAGTTTTCATTCTCTTTAGATTAACTATGAGAGCAAGAACAATTACGGGTTATATGAAAATCAATACATCTTTGGTAGGAATTGAACCTTCCAATCTAGGGATGAATTAATAATTTTTTCCCATTGTTAAACTTGTTGAAAAAGAAAATATTAAATTCACCCTAATAACAATTTATCTATTTATGCTCTCTAGATGTTCCTAAGTATCCTTTGGTTTAAACTAACAATCTATATAATTTATAATAAAAGATGCAAAGTTTATAGATAATGTATAATAATGAAGTTGAAAAATGATAAGTAATCATACCAATTGTTGATGATGCAATTCAAGCTTGAGAGTGTGTGATTACAATTAACGTAAAAGCTAGTATCTATATATATAATTTGAAGAAATAAAAAATGGATTCATTATTCATGTATAAAGGGAATATATTAATCAAAATGAAACATTATCTTCTGATAGTGAAGTTGAAACATCACAAATGATCATACCTGGAAACAAAACTCGCCTTGTGTCTTTTGATCCTATAAAATGAAGTTCACAAATTAAGATGTGTGAGAATATGAATGTAAATAATTCCAACTCACGAATTAAGTAAAGAATGTGTGTGAGAATAAACTCAAACTTAGAAATTAAGCAAAGAATGTTTGAGAATAAATTCCAACTTGGAAATTAAGCAAAGAATGTTTGAGAATAAATTCCAGCTTGGAAATTAAGGAAAGGATGTTTGAGAATAAATTCCAACTTGGAAATTAAGCAAAGAATGTTTGAGAATAAATTCCAACTTGGAAATTAAGCAAAGAATGTTCACTTAATTTTTATGTCTATTAACAAATTAATCTTGTATATCAGGAGTGATATTTAACACCTTTTTCGCTTAAGCTCAATTGTATCATCTATGCATATAAATTAAACTCATCTTATTTCGTATTTTAAAACTTAATACACAAAAGAGGTGTGGATTTCAAGAACTTAACATTGATCATGTTCTATGTTTTGTGGGGAAAAATATTATGATCTCACATCAAATAAAATGGGTAGACAATATCACATATGGGCTATTCTTTAAGGTATTGACAACTATTAAGCTCGTAACATTAGTCATCATTTTGCTCATAACACTAGGTTCACAAATTATGCATGTGTGTATAATTAAAAGCAAAAGAAGGAAAAAAAACAATTAACAAAGTGAAACAAAATTAAAACTGCTTTTATTAAGATGAAGCTCAAACTGTCAGATTTATGCGTTAACTGAATGTCAATGGAAAAATTCCAATAGCCATCATACCCAACGATTCTCATGCATAAATCCATTGAGAACCTAGTAAACTCCAACGTACCCAAAACCAATCTCCTTCTTCTTTAATACAAATCTAGATAGTTTTAAATTTGAAATTGGAAAAATGGGTATAAATAAAAAACCTAATTAAGCAATTGGGTAAAAATAGTATAAACAAAACCTGTAATTAAGTTTGAAATTGAGGGAAAATGACGCAAATAAAAACCCCAATGAAACCTAATAAGTTCAGGTTATTTTTTATATTAAATGGGGTTTGAAGGGATTTCTTTTAAATATAATAAAGGTGAGGAGGGATAATGATCAAGAGCTTAAAAATCACTTCCCAAACTAGGCGGCCTTGTGTGGCCTGTTAGGCTCTGTGTTATGCTTTAAATTTAGACTCACAGATTATGCAGGTTTTTATTGTGTAGCCTGTTGGGCTTTTTGGGCCACAGTGTTTGTTGGGGTATTGTGTGGGCTGTTGGGCTGAAAGTCCAACCCAGTACCTTGACACAGAAATTTAAAATTAGAGAGCATGGTGACGGTACAGTTGAAACATAGGATATCAATATCCTTTTTTTTTTTTCTTTTTTTTTGTCAGGTATCTAAGCCACATTGGAGTCTACCTAATCCTTACGGTCACGAAACATCCTATAAGCATAATAAACTAAGATAATTACACAAATGTGATAAGTACATCTCATACGATTCGAACACAAAATCCCCCTAAATATAGCTAACATTAGTGACTAAAGAGTTTGTCATCTGACCACAAGGGAAGAGGTATATCTAGACTTTTGTATTATGGATAAACCTAGAATATCAATATCTAGACTATAAAGAGTGGGATAATTATCAAAACCTTCGTCAAGAAGGATATTAGATTGATGATTGGAGCATTTTTTGAGTGTGTTTCATCCCAAAATACCCAATTGGCCAGGTGTTTGGATGACTGCACTTTTAATATACCCAAGAAGCACTATGAAGTTTTATATGTGAGTGATAAAGTGTGAAAGGATTATAATTTTAGTTGATTTTCAAATATTATGAACATTTGTTATCGACTGTTGGTTTACTTTAATATGAAGGATGCTTGGGTGTTATTCATATAATAAATCTCAATTGTGGATGTTTCTACCGAGTAAAGAATCCTTTTTATGAATTTGGTTTGTAGTTTGTCATGTATTTTTCTACTAATTCACTATTGCAGTTTTTCAAATATAATAATAGTTTATTAGCTTTTGTAAATTGTTGATGCGCCCAAGACTTATAGATCTCTGCAGGATTAGGATGGATGAAATTAATTCATTTTTTGAACACAACTTATAGGGTTGTACAAAATTACCCGTTACCTGAACTAAAAAATTTGAATACTTGGAAATTTGATTCGGATACTAGTAGTATCATAGGAGGTACCCAAAAAAAAAATTTGGTTCGGGTATCGATTCAATTTAAAAAATAAACTAAGTACCTAAACCGAACCATTATAAATAAAAAATTAAAAAACCTTAAACACTATTTCAACTTTCAAAAAAACAAAAATGACAAATCAATTAAACCTAAAAATTTAAGTTCTAAATAGTAAACCGACTAAATCTCATCTTCAGCTTCTCAAATCTCGACTTTTCCAGTTCTCCTTCTCACAGTTGTTCGTCATTCTCGTTCCAATTGGCAATCGCTCGTTAGTCGTCACTCAATTTCNTATGCAGGTTTTTATTGTGTAGTCTGTTGGGCTTTTTGGGGGTACAGTGTTTGTTGGGCTTTTGTGTGGGCTGTTGGGCTGAAAGTCCAACCCATTACCTTGACACAGAAATTTAAAATTAGAGAGCATGGTGATGGTACAGTTGGAACATAGGATATCAATATCCTTTTATTTTTTTTATTTTTTTTTTCAGGTACATGAGGTATCTAAACCCATATTGAAGTCTGCTTAATCCTCAGGGTCACAGAACATTCTACAAGTTCAATAGACTAAGATAATTACACAAATGTGGTAAGTACATCTCGTGCGACTCGAACTCAAAACCCCTAAATATAGCTAACATCAGTGGTTAAAGGGTTTGTCATCCAACCACAAGGAAAGAGTTATATCTAAACTTTTGTATTATGGATAAACCTAGAATATCAATATCTAGACCGTAATTAGTGGGATAATTATGAAAACCTTCGTCAAGAAGGTTCTTAGATTGATGATGGAGCATTTTTTGAGTGTTTTGTTTCGCCTCAAAATACCCAGTTGGTTAGGTGTTTGGATGACTGCACCTTCAATATACCCAAGAAGCACTATGAAGTTTTATATGTGAGTGATGAAGTGTGAAAGGATTGTATTTTTAGTTGATTTTCAAATATTATGAACATTTGTTATCGCCTGTTAATTTACTTTAATATGAAGGATGCTTGGATTTTATTCATGTAATAATTCTCGATTCTGGATGTTTCTATGGGGTAAAGAATCCTTTTTATTAATTTGGTTTGTAGTTTGTCATGGTATTTTTCTACTAATTCATTATTGTAGTTTTTCAATTATAATAATAGTTTATTAGCTTTTGTAAATTGTTGATACGCCGAAGACTTATAGATCTCTCAAGGATGGATGAAATTAATTCATTTTTTGAATACATTGTAAAAAATTACCTGCTACCTGAACTAAAAAAATTGAATACTTGGAAATTCAATTCGGATAGTGATAGTATCAAAGGAGGTACCCAAATTTTTGGTTCGGGTACAAGTTCAATTTAAAAAATATACCAAGTACCTAAACTGAACCAATTTAAATAAAAAATTAAAAAACCTTAAACACTATTTCAACTTTCAAAAAGACCAAAAGGCCAAGTCAATTAAACCTAAAAATTTAAGTTCTAAACAGTAAACTAACTAAATCTCATCTTCTGCTTCTCAAATCTAAAATGACAATTGTATTTGAGTCGTCAATTAGATCCTGACAAACTTAGTTTATCAGACGCGTTAGCAAGTAAATAATAACAAAGAAGAAGTTAATTAAACCAACAAAACCAGAAGAGAAGCTGAAGTTGAAACATCATACCGATTAGTGTTTTTTAGAAATGAAAACTTCTGTATCTGTAAATTTGCACAATCACCTCTCTGTTTATCGATGGAGACCACACATGTCACAAAGACTTGACTTGTCAAATGAGGAAAAAAGATAATCAAGTAAAATATAAGTGACAGTATATGAGCCACAAAAACATTAATAACAAAATAAGTAAAAAGAGTAATCTGGAAATGAATAAGATAATAAAGAAAACAAGCATTTCAATTTATGGGGTATTTACATTTTGAAGGAGATTAAACAAAAAAATTAAAATGACGTTGTCAACCCAAATTCTTGACGGATGGTAATTAGTCTAAAGTTGAAGAAATGAGGTATAAATCACAATACAAGTCTTTTTCTTTCCTTTAGCAACTGGAATGACCCCGTTATCTGTCACCAAGTTTTCATCTCTTTAGACTAATTATGGAGAGCCAAGAACAATTGGGGGTTATATGAAACTTAATACCATCTTTGGGAGGAATTGAAACTCCCATCTAGGGATGAATTATAATTGCTTTTTGTTGTTAAACTGCTGAAAAATAAATATTAATTTCCTTATAACAATTTATCTATTTATGCTCTTTGGATGTTCCTAAGGATCTTTTGGTTTAAACTAACATCCAAATCATTTTAGAGTAAAAGATACAAGTTTAATAGATTGTATAATAATGAAGTTGGAAAAAATGATAAATAATCATACCAATTGTTGATGATGCTAATCGAGCTGAAATAGTGTGGTCACAATCACAATTAACACATAAAAGTTCGTAATCTATATATTAAATTGAAGAAACAAAAAATCGATTCCATTTCATGTATGATGAATTACTTGGTTCTGAAAGGGAATATATTAATCAAAAGTGATTCATCATCTTCTGATAGTGAAGTTGTGAAACATCACAAATGCATATACTTGGAAAACAAAACTCGTAGTATGGTGTCTTTTGATCTCATAAATGAAGTTCATAAATTAAGATGTGTGAGAATATAAATGTAAAAAAAATTTCCAACTCACAAAATTAAGTAAAGAATGTGTGTGAGAATAAATTCAAAAATTGGAAAAATGCAGTAAAGAAGTTTGAGAATAAATTCAAACTTGGAAATTGAGGTAAAGATGTGGAGCTTTTTATTTGTAAGGGAAGACCCACCAATTACCATGTCAATTTAATACTGATATATATAAAGGAAAAAGTAAAAACAATTTTATTCATTTTAATTGTAACATGATT